TATATATATCATACCTGGGCTACATATAAATATTCACAGCAAACTAACATCCCACAGATGAACTCCATCAAAGTGAATTGTAATGTAAGCGTGTGCATGGTTATGTACTATGCACACACACATACATATCAAACCAAATCTAAGCTTGTAATTACATGTCTGATGTACACTCCCTCGCTTAGGGCCAACTGCCCCGCATCCATATACACACGAGATGTCCAAGCACACACATACAACTCAATACAAACCCCAACGGAATCAGCAGAATGCCTTGTAGGCACATGTCTACACATCCATATACACACGAGATGTCCAAGCACACACATACACCTCAATACAAATCCCAACGGACTCAGCAGAATGCCTTCTAGGCACATGTCTACTGCACACGCACTCGCTTGCCCTTGTCGTACCGTGACAGGGTCATCTGCCCCGCATCCATATACACATGCGCCGCCGCGGTGCCTGAGCCAATCACATCGCCCAGATACTGCAAGCCTCGACCGATGTAGTCGGTATCATCGATAAGCACACCCAGCTCACACCAGGCCATGCCTAAGGTGTACAGATGAAGGTTGTCAGCTAGGTCGTTGGTCTTCTCCTTAACTTCCAGAAGTGCTTGTAACCCGTGAATAGCGCCTTCGAAAAACTTCTTGGCTGTGGGTGTGTTGTCCTTCTCAACCTCGACCATGGCACTGGGGTGGGAGTGTGGTGGGAGTGTGCTTGAGGGGAGATTGTGTGTGGGTTGGTTTATATATACACAAACCAGGTTTTTCTGGGGGGTGTGCTTGACGCAGTCTTGGTGATCACCGGACTGACTGTTCCCGGTTGGATGGATCCTACATTTTGAGTACACCTCTCATTAACTCATGAGCCACATCTCAAGACAGTTGCGAGGTTGCCTTATCCCCACGCGCCAGGAAGTTGGGTTTTTTTTTAGCTAAACCCTAAAAACCCTGCTGCGGTGTAGATAAAAAGCATAGCACAAACTGCCAACATTTGAAACCCGTACCGGGTATTACACACTGATAGCCTGATAGGGCTCTTATTCGCATCGGGTGTACTGGCAATGATTAAAGGTGGCTATAAACCACCTCTTCTCTGACTATCGTATTGCGCAAGACAGCAACCCAGTTGTGTCCTGTATATAAACACAGTTTATAAGTGTTGTAGTTGTATATAAACACAGTTTACAGGTGTTGTAGTGGGCCTAAACCTATACAGGGATGCGAATGGGACTAACACCCCATGCACGAGGCATAGACGCAGTACAAGCCAGATATACACACCATATCCTCAACAACACGCAACAACACAAGTATATGAATAGGGGTTTGATATGTTTCTGCATGCACTCTATCGGTAAAAACACACATTAGTAGGTACACTCATAGATACACAAAAGCACCGTACGTGAGTGAAACACACAACCCGCCTGACATGAGCAACAACACATATATATGATTACGTATGTTCATATACTTCTACATGCACTACATCTACAACAACACACACATCAGTATGTATGTACACACATACATAAAAGCACAGTGCGTGTCTACAACGAACAACCCACCTGGCATAGAGTGCATACGCATCATGGGCTGAATCACTCTCCAACTGGATACGCTCATCTCCTTCAGCAGCCACACTAACCTCGGCAGGCAGCTCCATTCTCTCATACCCCTGCTCGACTTGCACCCCTTTATCTGTGCTGCCCTGTCCCCTTTTCTTGAGTCCTCTCGGGCGTTTCTTGGCCACGCCCGCAGTGTGGTCCTGCTCAGCATCGCGTTCGTGTTTGCGTTTGAGCTCTATTTCGTCACAGGGGTATATAGATGCCGGTATGTCTGACTGAGATGTACGTTTAAGTGCCACCTCGTCTTTGGGTGCGTGTGTGGGATCATGGGCCGTGAGCTCAGCTTTCGCTTCGGCCTTCGCCTTTTCCTTCAGTGCCACTGCATCCATCGTGTATATATGTCTATACTACACCGTGTTTATATGTCTATCTTATACCGAAAGTTCCGTTGTTATGAGTGCCTGGTACTATGTGTGTGCGTGTGTATGCGTGGATATATCATAAATACATCTGTGTGTGAAGTCTGGTTCTGCGTAGTCCAAGACCCCTGCGTTTGGGTGTAGTAGTGCGTGTTCGACACCCAACCCGAATACTCTAATAGTAAATACATCGGAATAATCTATTGCATCTCTAGGTGGTCCAGTGTTTTGTGTTTTGTGTCGGTCATCACTTCTTGAAAATGCCGCAGTTGTATGGTATATTTTGCCGACTATCTCGTGAACATCACCAGACACAATATATGCAGATACCTGCCGAATATGATATAGGAACGTAATTTTAGCTGTCATGTATATATCAAGAAGTGTATATATATATATATATATGTATATACAAACGGGTCTTGGATAGAATAGCGGGAAAGTGCGATACTACATGTTAAGTTACAAGTAGACATTAGCTTACTGTAGTACTACAAGCAGTACACACACAAACCAACATGTCCTCAACCACAGATGCCATTGTGAGCGCAATCATCTCCAACAACGCGGGGGAGCAACTACATGCCTATCAGCACGGTGATGCTAAGGGTATGGACATACTTGAGTTATCCTATATATGTTCTGTATCGACTCTGTAGCTAAAGGCAGATGTTGAGAGTTTGTCCCGATTTCTGTACGATCATATACGCACGATGTCTGCATGTTCATATACATACGATTTCTGCACTGTTATATACATACGAATTCTGCACGATCATATACATACGATTTCTGAACGGTCATTTACCTACAATTTCTGTCCGATCATATACATACGAGGGTGACTGTATCTGTACGGGTATGCCAAAGGCAAAACCATGCGCACGTGACGCTAGTAGTGTTAAGTATAGAAGGCAGTTAAACTGGGCTGCTGCATCTACACTCCTATCGCCGGGTCAGTTATGGCAAATAAGACTATACCTGCATCGGAAGGCCCGCTATGTCTTTGTTTATATGTGAAGTTTTAGCTAGTACATTGAATTCGCTGATAGATGCAGCTATACTACGAGTTAAGCTACACCCGCAATAATTGTCTCCCGCTCTATCTGTGTATTTCTCTAGAGGTAAACGTTTCTAATAGATTGGTCAGACAAGCTTTTAACTGGGCAATATGATTGGAAAACATTCGCACCCGTTTATAACGTCTCTGGAACTGGTATTATCCGCGAAGTTCTACAGTTTGGACCTTTTTGTATTTTTCTGTATCATCACAGCCACACCACAGAATATGCATTACTTTGTATAGCCAGCGAGATCGGATAGAGAAACATCTCAAGACAGAGATATGTATGCTACACTTACAACACCTATCTCAAGACATAAACTTGTGTACGCTACACTTACAATACCTATCTCAAGACATAGACATAGGTACGCTACACTTACAATACCTATCTCAAGACATAGACATATGTGCGGTACACTTTACAGTAACTAACTCAAGACATAGGCATATGTACGCTACACTATCAATACCTATCTCAAGACATAGACATATGTATGCTACACTATCAATACCTATCTCAAGACATAGAGACATATGTACGCTACACTAATAACACCTATAAGGACATATGCCTCGCAGATAGAGACTTATGCACTCTACACGTACAATTTCTGTAAAGGCCCGCCCATATCTCGGTTGTTTTGTATCCAACCATAGTTACATACGCAGGAATGTGTACAGACACATTCGGGCATATGTGTGCACCGTTGGGCTATGTACGCTACGCTTATGATTCGCATATGTACTTTCAGCTATATAGTTACCACCTCACTACCCTCTGTGTGCTGTTCCGTTGTAGTACACCTATGCAGATACTAATAGCAGATATGTTTTGTCAGCTATCGAAGATCAATGCCGAGACAAGGAATGCCTAGGAACATTGCCGCATTTGTTCAGAAGCACAACATCAGCGTTTGATAGGCAGTGTGGCTTAGCTTTGGTTGGTTGCACTAACGTGCCTTTCATACACTTACACTGACACACAGGAAGCGATGCTACGGACGAGAAGGAGTATCTGAAGGCCCTGAGTGTGTCGTTAAATGAATCGCAGACAGCGGTCAATCAGCTGTTGAGTGATATGATCGCTGCAGAGCCCAAGAGTATGTGGGGTGACACGAGCAGGGCGGGTTTCGGGGGTGCGTATGGATGTGATATACACACAAGATGTGTTAATATGGGGGTGACTTGTAGAGTAAGACCATGTGCGAACCTCGAGCATGTGGATATCTCGCGTGAACAGGTATATATACAAGGGTTTCAGGTTACAGTTATGTAGTCATAACCGTTGTCATGGCAACGTGAAAACAATTAAACAATTGCTTATTGTACGATCCGAATGTTGCTTTATTGCAGAAGACCCGCCCGCCAAAAGGACAGTCGACAGCAAAAAGAGCGATGCGAGGGGGAAGGAGAAGGTGAGACGAAACTTAATTTTTTGAATGAGTGGAAAAACTTAGGTTTGTAAAGCCCATTCCTATGGTATCATTTTGTGCTTTGTTTTACACAACATACTATTCACATATTAGTGTAGGGACATATGCCGCACTGCATAGACATTGACCAACTCTGTGTTCATTGTTGT